TTCGTCTGCAGCAGAGCACTTTACGTCCGACTCACGTGAAATATCGGGGTAGAGGTATAAACCCACATAGAACAATAGATGTGCTTGCATCTGATGTGGAAGATAAAGATTATATATATATGGCTACAGAGTCCAGGTCATCTTCATGCGATGCAACGCGGTCGGAACGTTTTCTTAACAACCTCAGACTCGGTTATTGTTGCTGTCAATAACACCTATATATTCGAGTGCTCCAGCTACCTTTGGCATAAACGTGTTGTTTTTGTTTGTTTACCCCCAGTCATAGTGTGCGCACCCTTTGCAGTACGAACAATCTAAATTAGCAGTTGGCTTGCAGGAAAGCAAGCTCTTCCTATTCAGCTGCCGCCCACGAAGAACTCTCAGCACACTTGCGCGCCTGCCGATAATTTCCGGCTGCGGGCCATCTGCATGTAAGTTAACTTCATTGGCTTCGGAAGCGGTAAAAGCTACAGGCCCACTGGATAACTTTGACTCGCTCATCTCCGCATCTCCATCAGCTTCAACACGACGGCGTGACTTGCGGCGCGGCCGACGAGATCTGCGTGGTATGCTTATATTCTTTCGTTGATGCCTTCGTCGTGGGCGTTTGGGCAGCTGGTGTCTTGGCGCTTGCGTCCTTTCCCACTGTGCATATCTTATGCACATGGCGCGTGACAATCACTTTCCTATTGAAGGTAGGTACACTTTGTATCCCTTGGTCGTTTCGTCTGTCCAAACAATGACGACAGTGGGTCACGAAACACAGACACTTGGACCCGAACACCACACTGTCCCAGAGGGTTGGCGCTTGACCAGTCAATATCTCGAGTGCGACTTTTCGGTTCTCATCGGCGCGTGACGAGCTCCGGTTCAGTACGTACGTGGCGTACTTAGCTGCGTCTTCCACAAACTTAGCGGCAATCCTGCATAAAACACCATGTACCGAGCCTGAGGATTGTGCGGTGCATCCGCTTCACTTTCCCGTTTGCAGCTTGGTTACGCTTGGTGGGCCACTCCGTTTTTTTGCAAAAGAGATTTTCGCAGTAGTTTGACTTGTGATCTACGTAGTTGACCATGTATCGATTTCCTTGACTATCAAATGGAGTCATCGGACCCTCCAGGTTGCTACATATGACTCCTCCGATTTTGTCAATCGGTGTGTTCTTTCCGTTGTCCTTGGTCGGCTGTATCGTTCGAGTTTGCTTGCGCTTAGCACAAACCAGTCATAGTTTCCTCTCACGGCTCGATATTTTGTTACCGAATGCAGGGTCCTTGCCATGCGCTCGATGGTGTCCAGCACCAGATGAGCAACACGTGCGTGAAAACGTCGTGACGACCAACGAGACTGTGCCCGTGCTCTAGTCCACCACCTTCATGATCGGTTTTTCCATCTTCACACTGTTCGCGGCTACAGACTTGAGTCTAGCCACAAGTACGTGCTCCAGGTCAACGTAGAACACCACGTGGACACTCTTCGTGAACGCCAGCTTCCGTTACGCTTGGCGAGACAGCATCCTTTCGCAGTCAGCCGCCGTATAAGATTAGATTCTGCGCCAATTTGGTGCATAGTAAACGTCACTGAGCTCTTCCTCAGACGTAACGTCATCAACAATAGCTTGCGGAATCACCGAGCCTTTCTTTGCCATATCCATCGTCCGACCATCCGGCAACATGCAGGTGTCCTCAACATAATACTCCAATATGTTTCTCAGTAGCGCGGAGTTGTTGACGAGATGTCGGCTGGCATCACTGTCCAGGATCCAGCTCTTAGCATTCCCTGCCTTCACGTCACTGCCGGCAGCAAGTGCGAACTTTACTAACTTGCTGTTGTCGTTTCCAGTGGAGCGCTCCGGGCAGTTCTTCTTCAGATGCCCAAGCTTTTTGCAGTTGCGGCATCGCCTCGTTTCTTTTTGTGGTTCGGACACCGTCTTTACGACAGCTTTTCCAACATGCTTCATTGCTCGGTTCTTATCACCCATCATTTGCGCCCACACCACCAACTCGTTTACTTGTTAAAGCGTATCTGGTCGCGTGATGTCACACTTGGTCATCAAAGCATGCCTTAAGTCCGGGTCCGCGTACTTGACGATATTCTCAAGTACCAATGTAGGTAACGCGTTTGCTGCCATCATGTAAGCATTCAAGTACAGAAAGTGATCATTCCACGATTGCAGCGGGTCCTTCTTAGCTTCGAATTGCTTCATTCCCTGCTGCGTCGAGAGTCCTCTTGAATGACAAGTGCAACTGGTCCATCACGAACCAAAGCGTCGGTTGTGTGGCCCACCAGTGAGGATGTGTTGCTGGTAGAAGAGGTCAGCTTTACCACGTAGTTGCTAGTCTACTTTTTAATTTTTTACCGTTCCCACCAGGCGGCGCCACACGCCTGCTCCGCCATCTCGATCTGCACGATGAAGAGCAGCGCCCACTGCTCGAGACCGCTCCCAAGTTCCTTGTTGACTTCACTGCCGTCGAAGTTGCGCATGTAGATCTTCGCGTCCTTGGCCGGCGGCACTCTCTCGTCGAGATGCAACGATGGCGGTCGGTGCGCTTGATACTGTGCAGCCGGTTACTGGGCCAGATACTGCAGCGGAGGTGGCGCTGGTCCTTGAGCAATGAGTGGTACACCTCGCGCTTGATGTTCAACACCAAGTCCACTGGCATCCGCGCACCCATTCCGAGGCTTGAAGCGCCGAGCTCAAGCATTTGCTTACAATGCATACCCAGACTGCTCCCTTGCTGCAATGCCTGACAGTACACACTTTGACCAAGTCCAGCTTCAAGTCTGGGCGGCATAATCGGCACGCCCCACTGTTGCATCCCAAGCGAACGCCCCAAGCTGTCGACCTTGGCCACGAGCTTTGTAATGAGCTCCACGAGTCCTCCAAGGTCCGACGCAGCTTTTTCTTCCTGTAGCGCTTCGCCCCTTTTGTGGGCGAGGGGGGAGGCGGGGCCTCCGTAGCTGCGTTATCCATTAGGCTAATAACCTATTGGTCGGGGCACTTGTGCTGAAGAAGGTAGAAGTGAAAGTGAGAAATGTATTTAAGGAATTTTAGCTGGATTCTATATGCACACTACACGTTAACCGCAAAGACACGTGGCCCCACAGACGCCTGATTTGATTAAACCTAATGTATACGCCTCATTCGATTGGTCTCAATAGCAAAACCTAGTCAAAATCGTACCTTCAACATTGTCGACTCAACGCTACCACAAAGAACAACATAAATCTGGCTTCCGATCGCCTGTACGATGCTGGCTTTTCCATAAATAGCTAACAAATCTTGTTATGGGCATCTTTGCTATCCAGCTCTGTACGAGTTTCCTCGATGTCTAATAAAGACTCTTCTGTAGGTGTCCCACCAGCGCATTTTTGAAGCTGCAGGAAATTGATATACAATATTGGACACGGGCCGCAAGGGCTGCTACCCAATTTAGGGGCAAGAGCTTATTAAACTCCTACTGACCCGGAGTAATGTGGGTGTTCAATATGTGCTCAATCCTTACAGGAAATACAATGTTCTCGAAACCCAGTCGTCAAATTGAGGACAAATGCGATCGATTGAGGCGAATTTAGTGTGGCACCAATTGTAAAATGGGACCATGTCCGTAAGAAAGAATTCCCATTAATAGTGATAGCGTATTATTTACCAGTCGTTGACATCAATGTGCCGGGTTTAAAGGGCTATGTTAAGCGCAAATTAAAGATTGATATGGAATTGTTTGTTTGCTTATACCAGGTACAAGTATATGATATGATTGGTCAAAATATCGTCCGAGTTTTTTCCAAACACTCTACAATAGAGCGCGGATTTCGGTTTTAGATGCAGCTAGGCTGCCGTCGCTCTTCGCCCAAAGGAAGCTAAGCTAAGGTCACCGACCTTACGTTCTATACAAAAAGAGTTGCGGATCTCAATCCGCTGCCTCCAAGTACTACTTAAACAAGATAAGGCGTTTTCAAGTTATAAAAATGCTCTGCTAGAGCGCCTACAGCAAAAGATGTCGGTGTCGACTGAGTCCATGACGCCACCGCCGGCTACGGATGACTCCCCCAAACCAGGCCGTTCATAGTGAGCGTTGAGACCTTCGAGGGCAAGGATGGATAGAATCTGCACTGGGTAAAAGAGGTTGAGATGGCTATAGCGTCCGCCATGCTCCAGTCCGAGCAACAGCGCGTGGCGCTAGCTATCTCCAAACTTGAGGGTCGAGCGCGAGAATGGGCACTGACGTGCGGCACTTTGGCCAAGGCGGCGTTTTTCTCCTAAGCGGAGCTGAAGCTGCAGCTTTTATAAGTGTTCTTGTCACTTTACCAGGCATATCTTGTGCGATCGCGTTTCCTTGCCGCCCGACAGGGCAAGAAGAAATTAGTGGACTTTTTCTAAACGTTGCGTACTCTCATTGCCAGGATGGCAGCCGACCCGAGGCGGTCACAGTGACCATCTTTATGGAGGCGACGTGACCAAATATGAAGTCTTCCGTTTGCATTTGTTTTTTAGAATCGGTGAATCTGGCATTGAATGCCGAAATCAACTTTAAGTCGACACGACTTGGTTGAAATGCACTCCACAGAGCTCGTCGAGCGGGCCTGAGCCAATTAGTTTCAGCTATGCTGAGAGAGGAGAGAGAGCTCCAAGCTTTACGGCAGTGTTTAATCACCCGACAGAGTCCTGTCTGTGGAACCACCGTCACCTTCGGACAATTTGTCGCCTGCGCAAGGCGCGTCAAGGTCCATCGAACTGACTTCCCGCTTCTTACCAATCTCCTGGTCGCAGAGAAATGACAATACCCAGTAGGCGCGGGGCGCCCTACTGGGAAAGATCTGAGCTCTGTTGAGCCTCAAAGAGGTCGAGTACATCAGGGCCCAGCCTGAAAAGTCTCCGTGCTCTTGAACACAGAACGTGTATGCTAGCCGGGCTTTCTTGTCGTAAAAGCGATCGTGAAAAGCTTTGAGAAGCCATGGAAGACCCTGATCGATTCCGGAGCCTCGGGCTATTATGATCGACGCTCCACGGTCGAAGGAAGTTAACTTATGCTGATGCACTGAAAGCGCGGTTGAGTGACGTCGTCACTGTTTGCTAAACGACGGGGACATGTTTCAGGGTGCCGATGGTCCCTGTAGACCTCTGTGTCAAGTTTCCTGACTTCGATAGCGTGAATTGCTGTTTAGGTTTAGACTTGGATACAAGGTATGACCATATCCTAGGTATGGAATGGCTGGAACACCATTCGACTGGAGGTCGAAGACCTCGGGCGCTTCGCGCACTTCTCCTGGTTGGGCTAAATTGAGTCATGTATTCACCTGCTAGGGAGCAAAACCGCTATTGGCGCGGGCACTGGACCGAGACGGTCAACGTACTGGAGATCGGAGTATCCGAGTTGGTGAACACCGAAGTGGTATCGGACAGGAGTCCCAAGCATGGCTCGTGGGCTGAACGTAAAGTGGCACGTAGCTCACTGAGTGCTATTCAGATATCGGAGCAGTCGCTGCATGCCATGCGTGACATGGTCGGCCAGGGCGGACAGGAGGCCAATCTGATGCACTTGGCGTGGCTCGTATTTCACTGCAAACTGCTCACGTGTTGAAGCAGTCGCTCCAAGCCACGATTGGCGTGGTCGGATTAGGTCCGAGAGATCGACGATAGGCCACAGTGATGCACATGGTGTGACACGTAATCCACTGAGCACTGCTTACGTTTTGAAGCAGACGCTGCATGCCTCGAGTGGCATGATCGCACGAAGTCCGAGGCATCTTGGTCAAGACCCTTCAGATACGCGTGGAGTGTCACTTTATTCACTAGACGAAGACTGCGAAGCTTAAAGCTCTTCGTCGGATGTTTGAAATGACATTAAGGATCCGCTGGAGCAGGAAGTGAAGCAAACACAGGTGCGTGATCCCACTGGTCTCGCCGAAGACGCCGGGCGTCAATCCTGACCCAGGCCCTAACCATATCTTATCAAATGATTCCTTCACTCCAGCGTGAGTCACAACTGATGTCTCAAGATTAACTTCTTTATTCGCTCTTTTACTGGTCAGATTTTAATGGTTTAGTCTTCTCTGCATGCCATGAATGACTGACATATCTTTAAGTCGGCTAAACAGTAAGAAAATGCGTGACAAAGCTTATCGCTGAGCACTGAAAAATGACAATGATGAGCGCCAACCGTAGGGCTCGAAACCACGACCACAATATTAAGAGTCTTGCGCTCCACCGAATGAGCTAGACGGGCTTCGTGCACGACTGAAATGTTATAACATACAACATCAAAATTGCGTGTGTCTACCGTAGAATATAGCGCAAAGTTATACACCCTCGTCAACGGTATGACGATGAAAGAGGCGGCGACGTCACCCTCGAGCTTTTTGCTGCTGTGGCTAAGCTAGACGAGAAGCCCATCGAAGAGTTCAGCGGTGCCTTGAAGGCAGGCGTCTTAGCCGAAGTGGTCATTATACGACCGGAAGAGGAGATCAACTCGTCGTTGCTTCTGGATGAAGCTGTCCTTGATGACACTAAAAGGGTGCTGAACGCACGGAGTGGATCGTCGATTATAAAGAATCCCTCGGATTCGTACTATCCTTTGGTAAAAAAAATTAAACGTCGTTTCGAAAGAGCCGCAGTCGGTCCTACCTATGAGAAAGCAGAGTTTTCGAATGGTTATAGTATCCTCTTTTTCAATTTAAATCCACGAGAAACGATCGACGTGAATGGGTCTTTACGGGATTGACCTGGTTCCGTGAACCAAATACTGCGTAACACGCCAATGGATCCTGCCCAAGAAGAGTGTGACGTCATTGAAGCCTTTTCCGTGCAAATACCGGGCAGGAATGGTGCGTGAGTGTTAGTCTCCTCATTCGACAACCACGTTTTGAGTCCGGAAACCGAACGGTTAGTGGCGTATCGTTCACACCTACAATAAGCCAAACACTGCCATCATTCCGGCTCAGACGCTGATTCCTAGGAAGATTCTTCCATGGTAGGCTGATCAAAATACAGCGCACTCGCCTTGGTCGATGGTTATTACCAATTGCTCATGAGAGCAAGTGATATTCCGGTGACAGCGGTGAGTGCTCCTTGCAGGATGCTCTAGGAATGGCTGGTGATACCCCAAGGGCTGTCCAATGCAGCAGCAACATTACATTGTCTTGTGACGCAATTATTCAGGCCCCAATGGGCGTAAACAGAAACATACTTCGACAACAGCTTCGACAGTCGTGCGGGGCATGGGGAAACAGATGAGGAAAGCCACACCGCCCATTTGAGAGCGGTGCTCGACACGAATAAGCTGATGCTAAGCCGATAAGTGCATCTTCGGCGCTGAAGAAATTCCATTCTTGGTGTACCTAATTGGGAAGCATGTCTTTCGAGCGTATCCTGCTAGGATCAAGGCCATTGTGGTCTGGCCGACTCCAAAAAACCAAAAAGACTTCTGCAAGTGGCTTGATCTCGCCAACTACTTGCACGACGTATAGCGAGATTTATGCGGTAATGACACGGCCTTTACGGATATTTTATCAAAGTATGCGAAATGGTGTTAGGACACCGAGACCCAGGAGGCTTTTGACGGGGTCAAAGCCATGCACCAATACTGGCGTTGCCAGACTCCGTTCGCCCTTTGAGTGTTGTCTATGACGTTTGGACTTTGCCGTCGGCTGTGCACTGCTGCAAATAGACGTCGAGGGGCGACATCGGTTGGTTGCGGAGAAGGACTACCCAGTAATTACATGTGATGAAGTATGCACTTGTCGAGGGTTAGGGTGATCCTGCTCGGCTTCAAGCCGGTTGTGATTTACTCAGATCATGCATCACTACGCACTGCGACTCAGCCGCGTTACATCTTACAGAGAATGGCCAGGTGGCTCTCCTTCTTGACGAATTATACTTCGAGGTGAAGTTTAAGCCAGGAAGGCCGATGCTTTGGCTGATGCGCTGTTACGAAGACCGGATTATGAGATTACACATCTCACGACGGTGACTTGTCAGTGATGGAGTTGATCCGCGCAGCATACGCGGGTGATGATAGTGCGTGACACTGCTACGTGCTCTCGCGAGCAAGGGGTTTGGAAACTCGGCCAAGAAGTCGTTGTCGTGACTACGCGCACGGTTGCACCGATATTCGTTGACCAGCGGATCGCTGTATTACCGCAACGACCGACGATTACGCCACGAATTGTGGCTCCCCACAATGAGAATTTGAAGTACCGTATCCTCTTTGAGGTCCACGACGCCCCATTTAATGGTCATCTCGGTCATGAGAAGACGTACAGCTCTGTAAGTTGCCATTACTGGTGACCCAAACTGTACAAATGAACGAGCACATATGTCCGCACGTGTGAAACGTGTCAAAGGGTGAAAACCGCTTCGAATGCGGCGGCGGCGCCACTGGCCAGTTACCGATTCCCTGCGGGTGCCCTCTGGGTGTTGGCAGTCCATGAGTACGGACTTTATGGTTGGACTCGGCGGGCAACACGGGTGTTGTGGTCTTCATTCATTGTTTGATCAAGATGGCTCATCTTG